TCTGCAAATGAGGTGGTGGGGTTGAGTTTATGGAGAAAGCCTACTTTGCTGGAACAGCAGGCAGGGTATGAAAGGCTGACTCTTGAAATGTGAAGTGGGGATGGAGTGTGAACAAGAGTATTGCTGTGATTCCATTTTATAGTAACAACTACATATCTTATATATTGACATACTGGGATTTAATAGAATAACTGTGTCAGAGCACACCTAATAATGTGTAAACAATAGACGAACATACTACTTAATATAATAAAGGGTATGACATTGACTGTGGGTCCATCAACCACTATGGAGGACAACCAGGACAGAAAGTGGAAAGGGCTGGTGGCCAGGAGCTCTGGATCAGTCCCAGATCTAGCATATCCTTGATGGGAACAGTTGTAAACGCCCCTGTTTCTCCACCCTGTGACGGGATGTCAGTTCGGCTGTAATCTCTGAGTGGACGCAGTAGTGTCATTGACCACCAGGGGGCGCCGGAGAATGTCTGCCCTGAGAGGTCTATGCCGCAAGGATTCATATTCGCCGCCTTTCCAACCCCACCCACACCCTGGCTAGTGGGAATGGAGGAGCCGAACTGGAGGGGGCTTTGGGGTGGGGGGAGATTAGTTTCATCCCTTCCTCACTCTGTAGGAAAATCTTCCTTGCAGAACTTTAGGGCCCTCGGGTATGCTAAGGCAGTGAAACCTAGAAGGGAACTGAAGATGGCGTGTGGGTGTCAGAAATTACATGAATCAACCCAGGGTGCTCCCAGGGTCTCTGGTGTCAGAGACACCTGGGTTTAAATACCAGTTCTATCAATATTGGACTTTCTTAACACCTCAGAGCCTCTCTGTTCTCATTTATAAAGGGAGAACTTAAACTTGGGAGATCCTAATGAGGTCATGAGACAAAGCACTTAATACCATGTTTGGCCCATAGTAGCACCCAGTCATGATATCTGCTTCTTTCTTTAGGCATTCATAGTCACCGCTGCCACCCAAGACATGGCCACCTCGGGACTCCCAGTTGTGAAGCAGGAAGACCTCCAGAAAGCAAATGAGTCATAATCTCCATTTTTTCACAACTGATAGCTGGACCGCTTGCTTGTTCATGGCAGGCCTTAGCCTGGGCAGAGGGCCGGCTCCCTGGAGAGCCCTTGGCTTCTTCATGCACTGTCTGAGCTTCTTACCCTGGAGAATTTTCCCTTCTGGTTAAGCATTGCTGCCCCAGGCAAATGTTACGGCTTACTGGGCTCCTCTTGAATGCTCTTCCTGCAGAAGTGGGGGCTGAAACGCAGGGCCCTCCTGGTTAAAAGACCCTGCTTTTCAGTTCAAAGCAAAATCCACAAAACCATGTAAAGGCCACAAGAAGGTATTTGGGGGGTTCCTAGGAAGAAACATAGAGATCCTGTAGCTCAGTGAGAATATTTTGTTTGTAACAAGAAGACAGAGATTTCAATGTTAACCCAAAGAACTTGCCTTTGATCTGTGGTCATGGTTACATTCCTAGATAAAAATGGATATTCTGGCCACCAGCAGGGAAAGCTAGGAAAACATGTCCCATGCATACAGGCTGTACTGTTCCTAAAGTGTTTTCTGTGTTTTTCTGCTTCCACACAGTGACTCCTGCTGGACCCAATGCTGGTAAATCCAGCCTTCACTCATCTGTTCTCTGCTCTTTAAAATCCTGTCAATCACTGCATTGTCACCTAGCAACCCCCTCCTCCCCTTTCTCTCTGTGGTTTTGACAGCCTAGACCTCCTCTTCCTGAAACTCTCATCTGCCAGTTCTGGAGATCCCACTGCCAAGTCAACTACTGTCTGTCTGACCTGATTTTCAGTCCCCCACAGAGTCCTCTTTTCCCCGCCCCAGGACAGAAAAGCTGGTCACCTCTTCTCACTTTGTCATAAAGGTCTGCTGAACTGATCTACCCACACCTAATGGCTGCATCAAAATCAGTTATGGAGGGCACAGGAGCACAGACACCTGCTGTTTTATCTGCCCTGAGCCTGTTCCCCTTTCTCAGGACACTGTGACTCAGTTTCCCATGGGCACCTCTTACTCTCAGTCTATGTATCTTGGATGGGGTTGACCCCATACTTGGCTTTAAGACATGTGAATTAATATAACCGATTGTACCTCCATCTCCCCTGGCTATAGTGATTGGGCTGAGATGGCATGCAGCCCAGTGCAGGCTAATGAGAATCAGGCTGGACTGATCAGGATGGGACAACATTTTTTTTTTTTTTTGTGAAGGGTTTTCTAAAAGAGTTTCAGCCAGAGATGCAGGGACCTCTTGCCGGAGAATAAAACCAAAAAGGAGGCCAGTGGAGGTGAATAGAGACGGAATCCTAAAGGCATTATTTAAAGTCTAGGATCAAACTGTGCCTGAAGCTCATCCGCGTGTGCATCTTCCAATTAGCAGAGTAATTTTTGCTCAAGCTAGTATGAGTTGGTTCTCTTCTCTTGCAAGTAAAAAAGCCAGGGTCACAAATGGGTCTTCCCCTCATCTTAGGGAGTTAGAATGGGAGCTAGAGCACAGGGAAGCCCAAGTTCTCATCCTGTTTATGAAAAAATCCCCAAGGGGTGGGTATGTCCATCCAAGGCAGTCGCTGCACTGCACACTCCCCAGGGGAGCTCGTCTTCCCCTCTGATGACAACTCTCCTCTGAAAACACAGTTTGCAGCTCCCTCTGGTCTCCAGCTGCTTCCCAGCCACTCCATTTGGATCCCTCCCTCCCCAGCTGGCATGCAACTTCCCTGTGCTCTGCCTTCCTTCCATTTCCAAGGTGTATGGCGTTTGCATCATACTATGACTCAAGCTGGATGCGTGCCTTCCCTGTACTTTTGCCTCCTGCATCCAGGTGGGACTATCTCCTTCAGAGTCTATTTCCTTAGCTTCATTCAGATCTGTTTGTTTCATCCAGCTCTTTTCCTCCTGTCTGATTTTTCTGCTCCTGCCGTCTGTTCTATGCCTAACTACTAAACTGACCCAACTCACCCACATTCCAGTGGCCACAACTGGAAACCTCACACAGAGACCTGGCTCAGAAATTGGCCAGATTCTCCCCCATTATTACTTTGGGGCCCCCATTCCTTACCTCTCCTCCAAGCTTTGTGATCAATGGCAGGACAGTCCCACTTCCTATCTCTGCCTCTGACTCCTGCATATAATGAGCAACAAGATGGAAGGGGCCTGGGCACTGCTGGCTTCATGGAACTGAGTGAGAACTAGTTTATCTCATTTGAGTCACTGTTATTTTAATTTGTCTTTTGTAGCTGTAACCATGTTCCAACTACAACCTGTGAGTTTCTAGGGGCCAGGGAATAGCTATGCTCATCTCTGTATCCTCAGCACCTAGCACAGGTAGATACCCAAGAAATGGTTGGTGTGCATGAGTGAATAAATAAAGAAATGAATGATGGATGGGTGAATTCTGGTTCTGGCCTTCTCCTAGCTAAATTATTTAACTTTTACAGCTTCTTCCTCTCATGTAAGGAAGGGAAAGGGGGACTAGAATATGTGAGGGCCTTCCTAGCTCAAAATAAATCTTTCAACAAATATTTATGGAGCGCTTTCTAGTGCCAGGCCCTGTGCTGGTGTGGGGACACATCTCTCTGTGAACAAGGAGACTAGTGGAGGAGACCCACAGGGTAAGTGGACAGAGCAGTGAACCCAGGGTCCTTGGAGCCCCGGAGCCCCTGCTAGACTTGGGGCTGTGGCCTGGAGGATGAGTGGAGTTAGTCCGATAAAGAGGAGCAGGGAGGGCATACCAAACAGAAGACACACATGGTGCTTTTGGAAAATTGTGCATTCCTTGCTATGGCTGACATGTGGAGCACAAAGGGAAAGGGGTGAGGGCTTATCCTGGAGAGGTGAAATGTGACCAGGCTGGACGCTGGGGTTTGACCTTTGTCCTGAGGATAAAGGGGAGCTATGGAAGGAGCTATGCTTCCATGCTGGGTGTGGAGAGCTCCTGACCTACACCACGCGGGGGTCCCAAAGAGCACGAACAGAGAACTGCTGAGAGCAGAGAGAAGAGGAACAAGATAGGCAGTCTCAGGCTCGCGCTCTCAGCCTTGCCTTCGTTGGTACAGCTTCTAAAATTAAATTTGTTTGCTCCAGGTCAGAGGACAGCAGCACGCAGCATCCCCGGGAAGAGTGCTTTGGGTCTCCAGCCCGAAGCACCTGCTTGAACCTGCAGAACAGACTTCTGGAGACACCTTTTCCCGAGTCCCTGCTTCCTTCCCAGACAGCCGTGCCAATCAGTTCACTGACAGCAACTCTGAAGAACAGGAGATGGGGACTGGGGGTGGCAGGGCAGGGGCTGCAGATGTGTGGGGAAGGACCAGCCTGCCCAGGAGGCCCCGGAGCCTTGTTAACTGGGGCCAAAACAAACTATCTCAGTAAGTAGAGAGCATAGCCAAGCTGAGTCTCCAAGGATGAAAACGCTGGGGGATCCTCTGTGGCAGGCAAAGGGCTGGAGGAGTGTGGGTGCTTCTGGTTTGGGGTTAAAAGCGATTGTGTACATGTGTGTGGGGAGTATGAACCCCAGCTGCCATCTCTGTAGGGTCTCGCTATGTGTACTTGCCTTTTTCTACTTTGTGTTTGATGCACACGAGCTCTTGAGCATCTCCACGCATATAGGCGGCACGTGGGGAGAAGTGCCCATGTGGTGGATGACCAGGGCTCTGCCACAGTGCACGTGGGCTGGTTCCGTGCCACTCCCAGCAAGTGTGTGTGTGTGTGTGCGTGCGCGTTTGTGTGTGTGTGTGTGTGTGTATGGTACATCCATGCATATTCCCAGAAGGGAGAGGGTGTGTGCTGACATATGTGTACAGTCTGCTCTGGTCCAGACTTGTGTACAGGAACATGTACACTCTTCCGAATGGCCAGGACTGTGACCACTTCTAGGAGCCTTCATGGCAGTAAACAGGGACAGCGTCCAGTCACAGACACCCGCACCACAAATTGACCCAAAAATCAGTGGCTCAAACATAATGATTAACTTTTTCTCACAATAATAAATGAGCTGGTCTTCAGCTTCAAGTTGTGCGGCCGAGGACAATCAGGAGCAGCATTATGGGGGTTTAGCTGGGCTGGAATCTTCTAGATGACGTCCCATCCTCCAGGGGCTACTCACCCCCTAGTCTATCCTGAGCTGCTTTAGAGCACGGTGACTGACTTTGAAAGGGAGAGTTCCAAAAGAACAAGCCCCCACGGCAAGTGCTCACATGTGACCTCTGCTTGTGTGAAATTGCTCAATCCCATTGGCCAAAACAAGTCATAGGGTCAAACCCAGGTGCATGGGAGGGAACTACCCAAAAACCTGGTTCCAGGACATGTGCTTTATTGGAAGCCACAGATGTATCTATGTACCCCAGTCTGGGAAGAACACCTGCTAGGCGGGCTAGTGGACCTGTCTACCACGTTGCCTGAGGCAGGATTTGGGGAGCCTTGTGATTAGTGAAGGCCATGACCAACTGTTAGTGTAGTGACCAGACTCTCCCGGCCCAGCTTGCTCCTGGTGCCTCTTCAGGAACAGCTAGAGGCCCAAAACAGCCCATGCCCCTCCAGTGTCAGATGGCTCAAGAATAACTCAGCAGAAGTCTCCTACCTGGCCCCAATTCAAGGTCAGGCATGCACAGCCTGGGACTCATTTTCAGATCACTTGCAGGCTGTTCTCAGTGGGTGCAAGTGCCGGCTCCACTGTCTCCTAGGTGTGTAACCTTGGGCGAACTCTCTAGCTTCTCTGTACTTAGTTTTTCTTATTCTGAAATAAGGGGTGAAAAATTTCTCTCTCCTAGGGCCACTGCGAGGGCTGGAAGCAATGATGCACGCTAAGTGCCCTCAGTCCTCGGCTCCCGCCATCACTGCCATCACTGCAGGACAGGACACATGACAGAGATGAAACAAGAGCCCAGATCTCCCTTGTGTTCCTGCAGCGGAGAGGATAGCATGGGTCATGGATCCATCAGTCCGTCCACACTTACGTTGAGCTCCAGGTGCAAGCAAAACCCCAAGTCATGTCTCACGGGAGCCTCTGTTGGTACCCACATATGCAGAGAAAAGAGCAGCGGTGCCAGGCAGCATCAGCCGAGACCCAAACAGACAAGTAGATAGTCCTGACGCGGGATTGGAGAAGGAGACGTGGGTGGAGACTTGATGTTGCCTTGAAGGTATAGGAAGGCTTCCTGGAAGAAGTGAGTCCTAAGCAGGGCCCTGGAGCTGGCAGGGTACATACAGAGGAGAGATCTGGAAGAAAAAGGCAAAAGTTCTGAACTTTTGTGGTCCATCCCTGCCAGGGATGATGACCTCCCAAGCCCCAACAGCTCCAACCATCTGCGCCCTGCACGTCTCCTTCCCTGGTGGCATGTTCTGATCACGTTTGGCACAGATTCCCACATCATAGTCTGACATTACTAATGAACTAGCAAACACACACACACACACACACACACTCCCCTCTTAGGCGTCTCAAAGCACGAGGCCATTATCAACTTACTGAGGTTAGTACTTGGGTAGAAACCATTTTGCTGATTCGGGTAAAGTTGAAAGAAAGCACCGTGCTGAAATGCAGAAACTGAATCTTCCCCTCTCCATCTGCAAAACCGTGAGCCTTTCACTTAGTGTCTTCACCTCTCTGGATGTCAGCCTTCTGGCCAAGGCAGGAGAATATTCATTCCTCCTCAGAGGCACTCTGGGAACCTCAAAAGAGATGGTGTGTGCGAGGCTTGAGCAAAGTACAAAATCCAGGAGCGATGACGGTGGTGGTTATGCTGCAGCCAGACGTCAGAAAGCACGAGCAAACGCATCCATTAGGGCCCCACTTGCAGGGTGTTGGAGGCAGAACAATCAGTTGAGGAGTGAGAGTGAGACACAGACGCTCTGAGCTGTCAGTGGTGGAAACCAGGCTTGGAATCTGGGCCTCAGAGCAGAGATGGTGGAAGGTACCGCAAGCATGTGCCAGGGAAGAAGCCCAGGGCTGTAGCGCTCCCTGACGCGTGGGAGCGCTTGGAGAGGCAGGCAACTGCGGGTTAATAGACAGATGTTTTTGGTTGATGACAGACGGGTAATGACCAGCACAATTAGTTTACTGAAGCAGATCCCTGTTTACCAGCATCTGGGAATTGCAAGCTATGGTGTTGTGTCTCTTCCTGTCCTCCCATCCCCAGCCCCAGCTTCCTTCATCCCCCACCCCCACTCTCACCCGAACTCTTGAACTCAGACTTCTAGCCTCATGTTAGGAGCCGCTCTCCTGGTTTGGAGTCGGGAGTAACCCCGCCCTTCGCCCAGAAGAAACTTCATTAATCCTCGAAGACTCCCTTGGTAAATGACACCTGCAGAAACTAAGCACAGAGAGGTCAGAGTGAGTCCAAAGTCACACAGCATATTAGTGGCAGAGCCAGATCTGGGTCAAGTCTTTCCCTGGCAGACACCCCACAACCCCCAGGTGCAAGTGCAGTCCAGTGTCTGAACTGTGGCGCATAGCCAGTGAATTCAGAGGAGATTTTGGCCTCCCCACCGAGCCTTGCTCCCTCTAGTTTTTTCCCCAGCAGTAGCTGTGGAAGCAGAACTGCCTGGAACAACTATTCCTGTAAACCTCATTACCAAGGCCTTTTATTCCTTTCTCTTTTTCCTAAAGGTTGTTGCTTTGTTGAGTTAATTTCTGAAGTTGGAGGTGGGGGGAATGACTGTGCACCCTTCTTGCCCATCAGGAATGAAGGGTCTTGCTTTCCTTGAATGATGCATTCTTAGCTTGCGGCCCACAGTTTGGTGTGCTGTAGCTACATTAACTGGAGTCTTCCCTTGGCTTTATAAGGCTTTGAGACAACATCTGGAAACACATGTTTGCTCAGGGATGGAGCAGGAACAGGAGGCTTGGAGCCAAAAGCAAGCTCCAACCCCTGGGGGAGGGGTCATGTGTGCTCAGGACTCTGGCAGGCTGCGAACCTAGATGGGCTGATACAGGAGCGTCACACATTTGGAGGAGCAGCTCCCCCTGTAGGCTGGGCAAGGCAGCTGTGCAACTCGGCTGGCCCAAGGATTGGGGCCAGTGCCGCCCAGGTGCTGGATTCTTTCCCCACAGCCTCCCACGTTCCTCCTATTCTATGGCCAGCGATGAGTAGTCCAGTTTCTTGAATATTTCAACTTCTTTGTTTCCCAGAGATGGAAAATTCCTGACTGGCTGGAGACTTCATCAAACTCAGATTTGTTGAGGCTCCCAAATGTGAAGTTCTGGGCTAGGCACATTGCACTTCTCAGGCAGAAGGATGATGGATGTGCTGCTGCCGCTGGTGGGCGTGGTAGTAATGGCGGCGGCAGTGAAGATGGAGGTGGTGGAGGTAGTATGGTCGAGATAGATGCTGGCGAACGTGGTGGTTAATGGGATGGGTGAATGTGAATAAAAACTAGGGCAAGCCCCCCCCTCCCCTTTGACTAAGTTTCTTCCCGTTGCGGGTCTCTATTCAACACAGCACAAGCAGGGCCAATCACAGGGACACACATTTCTAGACATTATGTTGGCACAAAGGGTGAGCACATTGAACCAATCAGGGGACTTCCTTGGGATTTTTCAGTCTCAATATTGGAGATGGAAATTCTTTTGTTTGGAGGCCACTACACAGCCAGGATTTAAACTCCTGAAGTTTATATGGATAGGGCTTGCTTATAGAAGGAGAGAATTATATGAAGAGCAGAGAGAAGCAGAGATAAGAAATGGTATTTGCCCCTGGGCAGGGTCTTACACTTTCCAATTTGTGTGTGTGTATGTGTGTGTGTGTGTGAACTTTAAATTCCCATCTCTTTTTTTTTCCTTAAGGTAGTTGACTTGAGTTCCTCTCATTTACTCTCGGGTTTTCACTGTCCCTGAGCAGAAGGTGATCAAGGATGTATAAAGACAATCATATGAGGAGGAGTCTGGTGGTGATGATAGTAGAGATGAAAGTGATAGAGGCAAAGACAGCAGCTGTGATGAGGGGGGCCTGGTGATGTATTGGTGCTGACGAGAACAGAGAGGTAGTGATGCTCGTGGAAATGATATCGCTGCTGAAGGAGGTGATCACATGATGGATCATGGTCATGGTGAAGACCCTAAGGCTTAACTTGCCTGGTCTGGGTCTTCTAAACACGGATCTAGAAGAACCAAGAAAGAATCATTAAAAAAAAGGGAGGGTGGGGGAGGAGCAAATTCTTCTAGAATGCCAGGTATTGTTTTTTGTCTTAGCTGGATAAATCCAAGCTGAACCTGGAGAGGAGTGTTCCAGGTGGCACCCCATAGAACTTCAGAATTGTAGTAGAACCTTCTGGAATGGAAAGACTCAAGGCCCATAATCCCATCAGGTCCTTTTGAGAATTCCAAGTGCCTCCAGGGGTTAGAAAAACTTGGGGAGGGACAGCAATCATAAAAAGCGCTGCATCTCATGCCTGACCATTTATACTTTAACTGTATAGATCTGTGACTATTTGTTTATGTTTGTCTCCTTGGTGAAAACCAGTTAATTCTTGTGAATAACAACAACTTATTTTTGTTGAACATTTACCATGTACTGGGGACTGTTCTAAGTGCTTTATATACATCATCTCCATGATGAAATGCTCAAAACCATAGATATTCCTATATTCCATTTAGCAAATGTGGAAACTGAGCTAGAGAGAGGCCATGTGCTTCACTCAGGATCACAGTGTTTGGAAGGCAGGGTGGGTAACCAGATGGGCTCTGGGTTCCCCTGCCTCAGTCATCATGCCCCACTGGGAAACGTGCCCAGGGTACACCCTGTGACACTCAGCAATGCTTCTCTTCCAGTCCCTTCTCCAGAGCCTCCTCTTCAGTCCTCTTCTACCCATGAAGGCATTTTCCAGAGGGAGGGCCTGAGGCCAAGTGGCGGGAAATGAACCTCTGTGGGTCTGATGGAAGAAGGCACCTGCTTTAGGGAGCTGACTGGTCCTGTCATCTCCCCACAAAGGAGGAGCTCTGATGGAGGAGGGCTGGGTTTTGGGAAATTTCCTGCCTCTTGGGCACGGTTCCTTCTCCCAACCAGAAGGCTTTTGCCTCCAGTAGTGAGCACAGAGCTCTACATTTCTGATTCAGTCATGAGACTATTTTGGGGGTCATGTGTAACTCTCACTTCATCGCTTTGAGCTGAAAACTATTTCTCTGAAACTCCATTTTCTGCTTTGTAAATAGGGATAACGATCCCTATTTCCCAGGGTTGTTGGGTGCCCTCAATGTGTAAAGTGCCTAGCCCAGTGCCTGGCGCACAGTCAACAATCAATCAATGGCAGCCGCAGTTATTGTGGTGCTATTCTCCTTCCCTGGATTTCAGTCCCCCATTTTGCTATTCTCCTTCTCTGCATGAGCAAGGATTCTGTTCTGTTAAGAGAAGAGAGGGCAAGGAGGGAAGAATCCAGTGGCCAAATAAACCGAGAACTGACTTCAGCACAGGAGGGACAGTGTTGGCTCCTGAGCTGCCTCCCTCCCTCAGAAGTTACATATCCCTGTGGCTGGATTTTTAAAAATAAACACATGCCATTTCCACAATGGAAAATTTTCTTTGAAAAAAAAGAAAGTAAAACATTCTCCTGTCTTCTCCCTTGGCCAAAGAGAACTAAGAAAGATAAATGAAGCCTTTTACACAGATGCACAAGGTTCCAGCTCCGGGCTTCACCCTGACATGATTCTGGCTTTGCTGGAGTCTCCTGCAGCCTCAGGATCACCCACCCCCAGAGCCCCTGGGAGGCCAGTGGGGGTCTACAGTGGGAATATTGTCTATTTGGAAGGGCGTTCCAATTCCCAGCCTCTTTTGTTTTTTTCCCCCCTTCTCAGTAATGCCCCCTGCAGGCATCCAGTGCCACTGCGCTCGCTAATCCTATTCATTTCTCCTGCCTGGGCGTGCTGGTGGGTCACAAGTGAGGCGCTGATAGGAAAAAATACTTGTCCAAGGGCACCCAGTAAATAAATGCAGAGCCAGGAACAGAGGGAAGGCTTTGGTCTCCTTGCTTAGGTACTTTCTTCCATACCTGCCCCCCTGCCAAGCCCTCTGTGGGAAACTCCCATATCAATTTGTTAGTCTGGGACATGGTAAGGAAAACGCAAGAGTGTGGACTCAGAAGCTATGGAGTCTGCCCACCCTGCTCTTTGCCCTTTGGGTCACTCTGTGCATCACCGCAAAGCTCCGAGCTGCCGTTGTCTCTGCTACAAGGGGGTGTTGAGAGCACCACCAGCCTAGTATATAGAAAGGACTTGGGACAGATTTTCTTTTTTTTTAATTGTATTCTTTTTTATTGAGGTGACACTGAATCCATATTTTTTCATTCAAATCACAAGGAACCATCATAGATCCTTATGGAGAGACTGGAGGTATTAATCAATGAATCGGGCTATCCTGAGTTTCCCAGTTTTTCCATAGTTAGTGTATAACAATGACAACAAAAACTTTGTTTAAATAAAACACAAACAAGTTATCTTTCAACCACATTTCCTCTCCTTGCATGATTATCATCAATCCAGACAAAGAAATCATTCAGAGCAGGCTCTAATATCATGCCACACAGACAACCACTACCTCCCTTGATGTCATTTATTGGGTTGGGTCCCCAAAGAGACTTAGAGATAGTTTTGCAGACAGGATACTGGGGTGTGAGGGAAGTGGGCAGAGGCAGATTTTAATTGAAATGCAGTCCTAAAAGGTCTCAGTCAACCCCGTGGGGAGCTTGCAACTGGAATGCACTGAGGAGTTGCCCTCAACTCCACCCTGGCTCTAGTCCTAGGATGCAGGCTTATCCCTGGGAAGGAGTGTGGTCCTAGGTGAGGCTGATCCCTTTAGCTAAGTGTGATCCATCAGCACCAATACCTCCCAGGGTGGAGAGTACCAGTTCTTCTGTCCTAAAGAGGGTCTGGGCAGTGTGTCCCAGCATGCACTGCACCAGGTTTAAAGTTGGCCTTATATGAGGCAGTCTCTCTCTTTTTTTTTTTTAGAGGCATGTTTTATTTATTTATTTATTTGTTTGTTTGCTTGTTTGTTTGTTTTGTTTATACAAGCACTGGGTACAGTCAGAAGCGCGAGAGGGTGAGAGAATTCACCAGAGCCAGAGCGGGGAGCAAGAGCAGGCAGAAGGACCGAAGTACACTGCTGATGGGAGCAGCGGGCGGCAGGAGAGGTCTGCGCGCCATGCGGGGCCCTCCTTCTGTGGCCTGGGAGCAGCCGGGGATCGAACCGGCGCCACAGAGGCTGCGGGCAGCCTCACAACCCAGCGCTCAACCGCTGCACCACCGGGGAGGCCCTGAAGCAGTCTCTTGATGAAAAGACCCCAGTCCCATTCTGAGCTGTCAACCCAGGGTACACATGACTCCTTACAATTCCCCATAGGGCTAAATGAGACATGTGGCCATGAGGACGGGGAAATTCAAGAATCAAGTAATTCAGTGCTCACATCTACGCTCTCTCCTGCTCTCCTCCCTATCTGTGCCCAGACACTCCATGTACAGGGTGCCTAGAGGGGTAGGCACATGGCTGTCCAGATGAGCAACCCTAATCCTCTTGTCAAGTTACAAAACCTTAAAAGAGCTCTGGATTTCAAGCATCCTCCCAGATGCCCAGAAGCCCTGGATGTCTCAAGAGAAATCTGTCACCCCCATGCCTGCTGCCCCACCAGGCACTCTGAGGGGCACAGCCCTCTACCTTTTATCACTTGTGACACTTGGAGTAAGCACATCTGTATGAAAATACTTTTAAGAGCTGTCCAGACTTGGAAGCAACTCAAAAATGTTTTGAGTGAATCAGTTAGAATCTTTGGGTTGCTCAAATGCCCAAAAATAGATGACTGGATCAAGAAGATGTGGTACATATACACCATGGAATATTACTCAGCAATCAAAAAAGATAAACACATGCAATTTGCAGCAACATGGATGGAGCTGGAAGGGATCATGCTCAGCAAAATAAGCCAGAAAGAAAAAGAAAAATACTGGATGGTCTCACTAATAGCAGGAATCTAGGAAACCTAAATAAGGGACCAGGAAAAAGAATAACTATACGAAGGAAAAAATCAAAATGAACAAACAACTATGAACTAGAGACACACTATGGGGGAGGGGGCAGTGAAAGCTGGGAATGTGGTCAAAATAAGGGGGTGCAATTGTATGGGGAATATAAAAATAAAATAAAAAAAATAAAAAATAAAAATATTATTATCCACATGAAAAAAAAGAAAGGAATGCTTTGGGTTGCAAGTAACAGAAAGCCTAACCCAAATGGACAGGAGAAGTAAAGTGAAGCTGGACTCACATAACTGAAAGATCCACAGCCACATCTGGCTTGAGGTGACATTTGGTCTAGAGTTCAACAGTGTCATTAAGAGCTCAGTGTTTTTCTTCCTTCCCTAATTCCCTCCCTCCTGCACACCTGCTGCTTCTGCTACGGCAGCCTCACACTCAGGGTCCCCTCCCTGTGTT